GGCTAATCACAAAAGTGCAATTATATTTATACCTAAATGCTATTTAACCAAACGATATTCATTTTAGGGCAAATTTATCTGAACTGAAACTGAAACTGAACTGAACCTTGTAGGATGCCCAGAACCTGTCAAGGAGATGGCATACAAAGCATACGTGAGGCCGAGCCTCGAGTATGCAAGTAGTGTCTGGGATCCACACACACAGAAGGATATCACCTCCCTGGAGAAAGTGCAGACGAGCAGCGCGCTTCGTAACAGGGAATTACCAGCAAACTGAGAGTGTTACACAAATGATCGCAGACCTACAATGGCCCTCCTTGCAGGAACGCAGGTTTGTCAACCGACAGGCCCTATTCTGGAAGATAATCAACGGACAGGCAGCAGTCGACTTTCCATCATTCATCACCAAAAGCACCAGCATATGCCGCGGCACACACCAGCTTACATATACAACAACATCAGAACCCGGACAGATGGGTACAGGTTCAGCTTCTTTCCTAGAACAATCAGAAGCTGGAATCTGCTACCGGAGTCACTACTTACTAGTCCAACAGCACAGCAATTCACTGGGTCTCTCTGGAAAAACATTGAGCCAGGCAGCTTCGTTGTTATGCCACCTCGAGGAAGTGAAACGCATCTCCGGCTGGGCAACTACAACAGCTCGCAACAGCCTATTGCCATATGCTAGTCGCACTCAGTAATGAGTGCCTGGCCCAGAGAAGCCTCGATCTCTGGAACACGTTACTGTCTACATTTTGAAAATGTTCTGTGCAAGTCTCTCACGTGCACCTGGAGTTCTTCGCGCACACCCTGGACGTTTATTCCTCACGGACTGTCCAGTATAGAAGTAGAAGTATATGTCGTTTATAAGATATTACAATCCTTTTGCTTTTAAATGAATAAATACGAAACACCCTCGGTCTGTAGCCCTTGGCTGGAAAGTGGTTTTGCGCAACTTATCAGATCGTGCGCTTTGAGTGGTGCCACCGTCGTTGTAATTAAACTGTAGTCGTTAGTTTTAAAACATTTTTTTTAAATATTTCGAATGGTGATTGAACCATGAAACTTTTTATGTAGCGCAATTATAACCTAAATTAGCTGAAAATAACCCTAGAACCTAGAGTAAACTCTCCCTTTAAAATTTGGTAAGTGTTTTATTTATGACGGACGCAAATGTGATCAAATGTCCTTACTCCCCCGTTTTATACTAATAGAAATTTCACTGTTTTGTTTCAGGGTTAGTTCTGACGCGAAAATAAATGTTTTAGATCTGAAAGTCTGAAATCTGGGCGAGAGATGGTGCTACGCCTAAATGATCGCCATTTTGGTTTTCGATTATTGCGCAAATAAACGCAATAAACTCTTCCAGTCAAATTACTGTAACGAAGAATCTAAAACACAATATTACATGTAGGTATGAATAGGTAGATAGGTAGGTACGTATAGGTAGGTTGGTAAATTTAACAAAATTGAATGAATCTAGATGGCCATTTTAATTTTTGCCAAAAAGTGGGCGTGGCTCGAAAGTAGGTCAACTGACGTGCTTCAAAACAGGACGTTCACATCTCTCGCATAGGAGTAACAACAGTATGCAATTTGAAACATGTGGGTCAAACGGTTCTCAAGTTATCGTTGACCGTAGCCAAATGTTGATGGACAGACGGACGTACGACGGACAACACCCCGTGGCAATAGCTCATCTTGACGATGTCAATGTGAGCTAAAAATCATTACGAATTTCGAACCTGTCACCAGTTTGTCTCTATGTAACCATCCCGCCTGTACTGACTTGGCCATTTATTCTGTTATTTAGATATCTCTGAATGATGAAACACAGTATGTGCGTGCCGCTGACTCAAGAGGCCAGGCCACTGCTGCATCGGGTTATACGCACTCAGTGTACATTAGCATATAGCTAGATTCCCCGCGAAAATCACTCAGACAACACAGATATCCGTCCGTGCATAACATATAGTTCGTCACTCGCAGACATGGTTTCGTCGCATATTTTACATGAATTTATCAGGAGATAAGTCAGAAATACTCAATTAACATTAGTATACATGCTGCTCTTGCATTTATTGTTACCTCGTGGCGGATTACAATTTTTGATAATATATTCGTTCGTGACGCGTTAAATTGGCACATGCCATCAGAATTTCGTAGAAGCAACAACATCGTAAAACTTTCGACTAAATTTCGCCCAAACTATCTCGAAAACTTCGCTGTTTCAAGCTCGTACGAACCTGCCAACGAGTTTCACGGTGTTTAATGAGAATAAATACACATTTTTCAAGACATCAGTTTTATGCGTTGGTACTTGGGCAGCGACAGTGAAACTCGATTGGACGACAGATGATTGATGTCACGTTGACTTGCCATTTGATGTCCCACCCACTCGACCCGGCGAGGTCTTCGTATCGATTAACGACCGGAGGGAAGACAGGCTTCAGCGGGCAGAACCAGCATCAATCGTCCTGAAAATCGACACATTCGACTCGGCGAGGTGATTGGTCACCTGGAGGTTGACGAAGTGACCATTCACAGTAGCGTCAGCTTTGAACGATAGGCTGATCTGAACTGTTATATTAAAATGATAAATTTATAGCGTGGGTGTATGTCCACACACGTGATCGGCATCGATCGGAATAGACTCTGTCCACATGATGTAGTACTTTGTATGTTCGAATAGAACAGTGCTACAATTTTTGAATAACCTTTTCCTTATTAGGGTTGAGACAATCTTTGTCTCATTTGATATTGTTGTTTCATTTTCTTGTATCATCACATATTGTTTGTTTTAATTGCTAGCCTGGTTTATAGAAGATTTCTAGGTCACTCCCCCAAACTGCATTTGTCAATCCCTGTGTCACAAATATTTTAGTATTTGTACATGACCTTACGGTCTTAGTCTAACTGAGAAAAATTACGTTAGTCTGATTACCACAAAAAGAAATCAACAAATTAAGCTCACACACATAACTTATTCGCACCAGCTTTTGAAAATTTTCACGTCAATTTGTCTGCGGGTGACTAGCACTTTCGCGCAGTGAAATTTGTGTCGGTCGTCAACATTATTTAATGTAGTTTCTCTATTGTTCGCTGTCGTGGCTTGAACTCGCGTCCGTTTTCGGTTTTCCACCACATGCCTATTCGCATCATTCTAGTTAGCCAAAATTGAACCCCCTCGAAGCTCATCAGTATGGACCCCGCTATTTTGAACGGTCAAGCACAGGCGGTCAAAGCTACACAGTGCGATGAGAGCGCTGATCTTGATGTACCTAGGCGTTCGGGGCGAACTAAGAAACTTACTGAGAAGGCTAAGAGCAGCAGTCAGTCAGATCTCCTCCAGAGATTTGACACAGAGTATAACAATATCTTGAGAGCAGTAGAGAGTACTAAAAAAACTCCTCAAAGTCCGTGTGCTAGACTTCGACGAACTCGGCTACAGAAAGGCGCAATTATCCTCGATGTCAAGGTACCTCCACGGCATCGTGGCTGAACTCGGAGAAGTTCAAACAACCGAAGTTGATGGGGAGGTGGAGCACACGCTTGAAGAAACTGCAAATCTGGTGGTCAAAATAGTTTTGAAGATAGTCTCGGCACTGTCAGCTCATGACAAAGACTCCAGATCAAGATTGTCTCAACATTCGGTCAGATCGAGATCATCCAAAGCGTCCACATCATCGTCAGGACGTATCGACGCGGCAGCAGAAGCTGCGGCGTTACAGGCACAGCTTGAGGCTCAACGCGCGGAAAATGCACGTCAAGAGCAGATTGACAAGCTAGAGGCTGAAGAGAAAGCCCGAAGATCAGAAGCTGAAAGGCAGATGAGTCAGCTGCGTCGACAGCTGGAGGAGGAAAGGTTGACCTCTAGACTCAAAGCTGAAAGAGCCAAACTGAGGGTATACGATGAGGTGGAGCATCCAGATGGAGCATCCGTCATCACTGCGGGCTCCTACTACACTCCGTCTGGCAGAGAAAAATCGGCTGCGAACAAGTCAATCCTCAGTGAAAGGCTAAACCCAGAGGCACCAACCTTCCAATTGCAGAGTTTCAGTCCGGACGCACACTCGCCGTCGAAGGACGCACACTCGCCGTCGACGGACGTGCACTCGCCGTCGACGAACGCGCACTCGCCATCGACGGATGTGCACTCGCCATCGACAAACACAGAATTGGATTATCCTGATATGAAGAATATATTCTGGACGGACTCAAAGGTCGTGCTAGGGTACATCCAAAACCAGTCCAAGAGATTCCACATGTATGTCGCGAATCGCGTACAGACAATACATCAGAGTGACAGACCCCGATCAGTGAAACTATGTTTTCACACACGAGAACCCATCATGGGGCCTCACTGCTGAGGAGATCGTATCGTCCAACTAGCTCAAGGGTCCCGCTTTCCTACGGGAGAATGAGATATCACTACAGAGGATAGACGTGGAAGTAGCAGCAGAATACATAGAGGTCAAATCCACAGTCAGAGCTGCTCAGAATTCTAGCTTCACCTCATTCGAAGAGAGAGTAAGCAGATTTTCGACGTACAACAGTGCTGTCAAAGCAGTATCTGTCATCGTAAACTGTTCGCTCAGAAGAGCAGGAATCGAATTTTCAAAACTGGAGACGCAGAAGGTTGCTGAGAAAAATCTGATTTGCGTGATCCAGGAAGAGAGCTTCCCTGAGGAGTTGACAAGATGTCGGAAGGGCTCATCAGCCCTATCAAAGACAAGCAGTCTGAAGGATCTCGATCCGTTCATC